CGCCTACTCTCTTCTATGGCTATTGTTTATCACCCCATTCTCTCTTTTCAAGGAATGTAGGTTGCTAACCTTTCGTTTTTGCTTTCTCCTTTTTAATATTTAGTTTCAAGAGCTCTTGTATCCATTCCTATCTCTTGCATCCCTTGCCCTTAGGATTTTCTTTAAAGTGGACGATTGGTTGTCCTCCACACTGTTGGTAGAGGCTCATTGTTCCTTCAGTCACCGGTTCCTCTTGGAGTTGTTAGTCCAGACCTGGATCTTTCCTGGAGGCTTTGCTCACCCCTGTTTTGGAAATCCTCCATGTCTGACTTTGCCACAGTCCTGTGTCCTCCAATGGGCATTAAAAATAAGATTTTATAATAGTCTGACATTTGGGTTATACTGCAGGAGGTCTGGACACTGACAAAACAAAGACATTTAGTCAGCCCTCCATATAACCTCTCCTCCAATCACCATGCCTCAGTTTTGTGCTAGTGTCCTAGGAGGTTGCACACCTTTTCATTGTCTCGGTTTAGTTTAGCAAGCAGTACACAAGGCTAAAAGACAGAGGTAGGATCGGTGTCCCTCAAAGATTTAGCTGCCAGTACAAAAAAAAAATCCCCATATGTAGCGAATAAACAAAATGTTGAATTTGTATTTTAAGGATTTGCTCGGCTGTCATCTGAATCTCATCATGGTGGATCTCCCATACACTGGGTCCTTCCAGCAGGAATGAATGCAAAGATGCTTGGTGGGGTATTCAAAATAGATTGGATTTGCAGGTAAGCTGATTTTGGGGTGGGAAAACAAATTCTCCTAATACTCTATCGTGCAGCACTCTATATTCGTAAAAGGAAGACCGACCCCTTGGTTTACTGTTAACTATTTAATCTCTTCTACTCTTTGAATAGGCGAGAACTACCGTTTACAAAATCTGCTCATCTTAATAACGCATGGAATGAAATGAAGCCAGTAAAGATTGGACGCGATGGTCAGGTTAGATCATTTTCTCTTGTTACAGGCTGAAGTCTTGAGTTTCGTTAGCACACAGTGTTATCACTGCAACTCTCTATTTTCTGTTTTAAAAGTTTAGACAGTGACGTAATCCAAAACAGTGCAACTAGGATACGGGACCTTAACATGATGAGTAAATTGCCTAGTTCATCTACCCAAAACTGCTGCAGCAGACGTGATTTTAGGTTGATAATGTGATCCTGTTAGATCCTAAAATGCTGTGCGTCTTGCATAACTTCACATTGCATTAGGGTAGATCCCAGTATCGTGCATCTTGCAAAATCCACTCAGCAAATGTGCAGAAACAATTCCAAAATATATAGGTGTTAAAGGAGAACTATGAGATGAGTGATTTCCACTCACCTCATAGTTCTAAGCCGACCTGTGATAATGAGACTGTCACAGGTCGGCTCAGTAGATCGGGAGGTGAGGGAACACATACCGGGTTCCCTCACCTCTCGATCCTGTCACGGCTCTCTGCCGTGACAGGGGGAGGGGCTGGATTCCCCTCTCCCCGCTCCGATCTGCCAGCGCTGACTAGCGGAACGGACGGGGGAGGGGGCGGGTACAGCTGGCTCTGCCTCTAGGTAGGCAGAGCCAGCTGTCACTCACGCAGCTGGGCGGATCCCGTCTTCCGAGTCGGGATCCGCTCCAGGTGCGGCGTCTCAGTATACCGTGAGCTGTAGCTCGCGGTATACTGAGCTTAGGGTAACGGGAGGACGCTAGTTTGCGTCTTATCGTTGCCCTAAGGAGAACTATGGGGAAAAACACTGACCCCATAGTTCTCCTTTTAAAGATTCTTTACTGGTTTAGTAATTACCTGGTAAAGTGAATAAATTAGAAGTGTTCACTTCAGTCAACTAATCATTTTCAAGGAATATTGTGTCTTTTTATAATTCCTGTGCAGTGTTCTTAACCGCAGTCTACGCATAGCTGGGTGTTTGCTCAGACTCAACACTTTTTACCCGGGGCAGCCTGGTCTGTTGATAACACACCAGCAAGTGAGGTGGGGAGGGGGGTGAGGAGCTGAAAGCAGCCCAATTATTTGACCAACTACTCGATAATAAAAATTAGTTGACAACGATTTTCATTATCAATTTCTCATCGATTAGTTATTCAGCCCTATATATTAACGATAGTTTCTAAAGCACACCTCCAGAATAGAAATGGAGGCTGACAAAAAATCCCATAGGCCCCCTACCCGTTCATGGATTCTCTCCTGCTCATAATAGTACGGAGTGGATGTCACCACTGTGACATCTGTATTCCTACAGTTTTTTCTTCCACCGTGCGATGGAGGTAAAAACAGAATCTGATGTAAACGGACATGTGTCTGTTTACATAAGGTTACCCACGGTCTGGTCCAGGAAAACTGATCTGTTTGTTTCTTCGGACCAGACGATCTGAAGTGAGTAGATTCATTAAGCGCTGGTCCAATCTTTAAGGTGAATGGGAGCAGAGCTAAAAACTGATAGATTTTACCTCACCACTGCCATCATCAAGAGCAGGGGTAGGTAAAGTTAGACCCTTCAGCTATTGTAAAGCTACAAGTCCCATAATGCATTGCAATACTTGGCAGCGACGGTCGTGACTTCCAGAGGCATTATGGGATTTATAGTTTCATTACAGCTGGAGGTTTGAAATTTGGCTACCCCTGATCAAGAGATAAAGGAAGCCAATGGGGGACACTAATTAGACCACTGATTTGGTTCATATAAATCTGCTTGATCCCCATGACTGTCTTTATTTTTGAAGGTTTTTGAAATAACTTCTATGTATTTGTTTGTGGCAGGCTTGCTGAATAATAAAGCCTAGACTCTTTGCCATGTTTCTAGGTGCTCAACCTCTCCTGGTGTATTACACAGTAAAGGTACCAATAAACTAACTCAACAAGAGTATGATTGTAGAAGTACTGTTCTCTGTCGGCATTACATTAGGAGTACTAAACAGGCCTTTTTCTTTATCCAGTGACTCCCTTCAGTACTTTATTCAATAGGTAATTGCTGTGAAACACTGTGGGCTAGTTGGGCAAAAACTTAATTGCAGATCTTAGAAGTTGCTTTCTATAACTATATCAGCGTTAGCTCACTAATTGTAGCTTAAACAATTCTACCAGTTGTACTTTAAAAGAGAGCTATGGTAACCTTTTGATCCTATAGTTCTCAGTCACGTGAGGACATATACTAACCTCCTCCTGTGACACAAAAGTCAGTAAATAGCGGGCCATTGCCTGCGATATACTGAGAGCCCCGCAGCCAGGACAGATCCTAATAACTGTTGAGATCCACCCAGCTGCGTGAGTGACAGTTGGCTCGGCCTATCTAGAGGCAGAGCCAGCTGTGCCCTCCCTGCCCGTTCCTCCAGTTAGCGCTGGATGATCGGGGAGGGGGAGTCCATGCGGGGAGCAGTGATTGACGGTCACTGCTCTCTGCAGGGAGATGATCGGGAAGTGAGCGATCGACGGTATGTGTTCGCTCACTTCCCGATCAATAGAGCCAACGTGTGACCGTTTCAATGTCACATGTCGGCTCTAAATATGAGGACGAGTGAAAATCACTCGCCTCATAGTTCTCTTAAGTTAGAAGAGCTTCATGACAGCCAAGGACCTATCATTCTGAAAAGGAGAGCAAGCATTTGAAAAAGGTTAACCGTCACAACCAGCCTATATCTTTTGTGAACAGTTTCACCTTTTGAACTGGAGAGTAAACCTTTTTCAATATGCACAAATTGTTTTATCTCATCCGACAAAAGAATGGCCTTACCTAGTGGTAACAATGTTTTAATCAAGTTATCTTTCGTGTTTTTTTTTTTTTTGTCTTGTCTCACTTGGACTGATGGTTGTTTTCAGGAAATTGAACCAGAATGCGGGACCCAGCTCTGTCTTCTATTTCCAGCGGATGAAAGCATTGACTTGTATCAAGTCATTCACAAAATGAGAAACAAGAGAAGAATGCAATCACAGCCCCGATCGCGAGGCCGTCCCTCACGCCGAGAGACAACAAGAGATGTGGGAAGGTTAGAAACGTTCTTTGGACTGATAGTAGGCACTTGTGCTGGAGTAACATGACGGACAACACAGCACATTGCGATGCCAGTGATGAAGAGAAAAAAATCCTCACATCAAGCTGCAGGGAAGAGTTTGTGGCTTCATTGAGGATTTCCTTTTGATCCCATTCCTTCCGCCCCTTTTTTTTTTACTGCTACATTGAAAAGTCATTGAAGAGCAGCCATTTTAGACTAGTATAGACTAGATCTTTTCAATTCAGCAACCTCGCAGATTGTAGCCAGAATAAGGAATGAGGAATTTAATCTATAGAACCTATTACAGAAAAAAAAGTGTTTAATTTCTTGTGAAAAGCCTTTTCTTTCAGGTAAAACCCTGGATATCCCCTATCAGATATGGGACTTTTAGAATGGATCAATAATGGTGTTGCAGAAGATGCCACCTCCTCTTGGGGAGATAAAGCTTTAAAAAAAAAAAAAGTTGCTTTGTTTTCAAGAGGAGCCTTGTTGGGACTATTTCCATATGGCTTCACCATGATGTGTTTAGAAGCAGATTGAAAAATGGGCTCTATATATATCCCCACAGTGAATACATCTTTCTGAGCTCCTGAACCCGCTTTAGGTATGAAAAGGGGAGCAAGTTGCACTTGGAGACCCGGCAACATACCAGAAAGTGTGGCTGTTGCTGTGTCTGTACATCCCTTCCAGAGATGCTGGCAATACCTGTGGACTGTAAATGTTGTAGTGGATCGACATGGTTATTACTCCCTGCTTTATGAACTTAACATCATGTACCAGGAAAAAAAAGAGGGTGTTACTTGGTTTCAGAGTTGGAGAAGGCTTTCAAAGAACTGATGCTTAAAAGCCCTTCAACCAACCACCCTTCCCTTGAATAGGCTAATTGCATTAAGTAATGCTAACGGGTTTCTTCTAAGGACTGGATATGTTGGTTTGAAGGGGTGCACCTGTGGGTATTTCTGTGTCAGATAGAGAGCCAGCTTCAGTGTCCCTATTCCTTTCAACTTGACAAGGACACATTTAGGTAGGTGGAAACCTGACAGAGCCCCCTATTTCAGTTCTTTTCCATTTTAATTTTTTTTTTTTTCAAAAATTTTTTTTTTTTTTTGCGTTTTTATATGGACTGAGCTCAACGAAGTTGAGGTTTCCTTTACACTAATGAGCCTTAACAAGTGACCTCTTTTACGCCAGTTTTGCAATGGACTGCAAAATGTATTGTAACAGCACTACACCTTCTCATGTCCGCCTTGTATATGTGCGGGTTACAACTTAAAATCCTTAGTGGACTACTGTATGAACTGTTGCTATATTTTATACCGGTCATAAATGCACTCTACAAGAAAGCGGTATGTTCCCTCTTTACACCAGCTTTTCATTCTTTTTTGATCATTTGGTTGGTTTCTGCTGTATGTGCAACTGATCTGATTCTTGTTCAGAAAATAAGGAATCTCCAGGCAATTTAGAGGGGCTGAGTAATACAAGGTAATAAATATTTACATAGGACTTTAATTGGTCATGCTCCTGCCTGAGCAGGTTATCCTTAGGCTTGTTTTAGCTACTGAATGCTGCTGTTAATTGACATCAAATATTGTCGAATTTTATGCTGTAACAGTTCCAATTAGAAACTTCATAAATTCAATTTTGATTCTGTAGGACAGTGTTGACATCTAAAAAAAAAGAATTAGAAGTGTAAAATGCATTTCTCCGGGTGATTTAAGTGCTGGTCATTTATTATGCAAACCCGTGGTGTTAAACTCAGGCTTTCTGTTTTCCTTAACTGAAAATAGTCTGTCTAAGTTACCACTTCCAGAAAGAGTATAAGGATGCTGTTAGAAATAGGCTTTTGCTGCATTTTTGATCTGCATATGCTGCAATCAAAGTTGCAGATTATAGGGCACACAGTTCTGAGTTTGTACAGGGTTTGCTTTATTAAACTGCTGCAATAAAATCTTGAAATATCTAGAAATCCAGATCTATGGTTAGAATGCAGCTTTATAATGGATATGCACGGAATGTGTCGATTGTTCAGCTGCTTTCAGCAGAATACGCACTACGAAAACAGTTGTTGCCCTATTTATTGGATGTACCGGAGACCAGTGCCTGATTTGCTTAAAGTGGGACATATCCACACATTTGCCACCTACAGTTTATCTAAAGCCAAAACTTTTTTTTTTCTCTTTTAATTTTGGATTCAATAGCTATAATGGGTAAAAGCCCTGATCATTTTTTTTTTGCTGACTGTATCCCATTACGGTGGCTTCTCGTTGGTTCCTGTCGTGACAAATGAAATTCGCCTTTGTCACTTTGGAATTTTACCCTTAATTACTGTTCTTGTGACAGCGCAAACTTTATTGTATTTTTCTAACTTCTCAGTCAGTGACAAAAGGTTAAAGAGTGACATACATACAGTAATAAAACCTGACAGGGAAGGGTTCTAACCCTTCCCCACTGAGATTAAAACTGGAAAAAATGGCTTTAGATACACTGTAAGGTGACAGTGCTGCAGAGCCATGCTGTCAGTTGATGATAATTAACTGTCCTTGTGGAATTTTAAATTCATAGGTGGGAATTAATCAAAACTGGCGCAAACGGAATCTGGCAAAGTTGCCCATAGTAAGCAAAAAGCTTCGTTCAACTTTGATCAGTTAAGCTTTGAAAATTAAAGATCAAAGCTGATTGGTTGCCATTGGCAGCTGCTCCAGATTGTCTCTTAGTTTTGATTGATTCCCCCATAGTTTTTAAGTATATTGGTGCCAGTAACCTTATTATGGAACGTTGGATACTCTTTAGCCCCATAGAGTACGTTTTTTTTTTTGTCTTGTGGTCCAAGTGCGTGGAATATCTACTGTTAACACCAGTTGCCTCAATGTAATGTTAACATTATAAGAGACAATGTTATAGGAATAATTTATAGGAGGGTGTATTGTTCAACATACTGAAATCGAGCTTTATGTATGCGAGCATGAATTGCTGTGGTTTTGGTTGGGTTAAGTTATCTCTAATAGCCCCAGTTTGAACCTCCAACATCAGGCCTGTTTGTGTTTTGGCTTTATGGTGATGGTACTGCAGGCTGGCTTTGTTCAGGTATGTACATTCATAAATGTCAACAATTTTTCTGTTTAATTCTAACATTTAATTTGTATAGGCGTCGACCAGAAGATTATGATATTCATAACAACCGAAAGAAACCAAGAGTTGACTATCCCCCAGAGTTTCACCAGAGACCAGGTTAATACATTTTGCTACAAGACCTTTTTGTTTTTCTTTTCTATAAGGGATGCTCTCATCAAGATGATATTGTTAGGTTATTAAAAAAAAATACACACACACTTTAGTTAGGCTGGTGGAGGTAGTGCAGAAAATGTAAGTAGACATCGGTAGTCCTGTGATCAGCCTCAGATTCGACACCCTAATGCTACAAGGTAAGGCCTCTAATGTTGTGTGTAAAGATGGAAATGGAACAAATAGCGGACACGAATCAGCTATTGATGTGTGCTGTCCATGTGTCAGAGTCCAGTTTGCTGCTGTTTGATATGTTCTTTGTATTGTGTCTCTGTATTTAAGTAAATCCTTCTTTAGAAAATTCCATTCCCAAGAATTTAGCCTTAAGCTGGTCTAAAACTAGAATCTATATATAAAATATGCCTCATGTGCACAGGTTGGATCATTGTAAGTGCTGGCATGTTTTATAAAGACTGAAGGTTAGGGGACATGCTCCTTACAGCATTTCAAAAACATCCGTCTCTCCTCTTGCCAGTAATATGCTCCTTGCCCTGAAACCCAAGAACAAAAATGTAATATATTACAGCTCATTAGTTCTTAGATGTGGTGGCTACATTAGTCCTTCTTTTTTTGGGTTAAGAACTTTTTCTGAAAGAACGTAAATCACCTGTTGATTAGTGAAATGCAGTGTCACTTCCTGTGAGCGGAACAGAAGCAACAACATTTAATATTTTTGTAAAATACTAATCCCATCTAAGGCTGCAACCAACTAATCGATAATCTATGAGAATAGTTGTCAACTATTCTCATTATCGATTAGTTGGATTACCTAGCTCTCCACTGAGAAGAGGGCACAGCAAGCAGTGGGTGGGTGCAATAGCCAGCCTGCTATTGGCTATTGCAATTTTAAAATGGCCTATAGCAGGCTTGCTATTGTACCAGCCCACTACCTGCTGTATTTACATTCAGCTGTTGAATCGTGCATTTACATCCACTGCTGGGGAATCTTGCCACTGGCAGCTGTCATTACCTGGCTGAAGCTATTCAAGCGCCATGTGCTTACAATACAATTAAAAAGAAAAATGATAAAAAGGTGGGAAAAAGTAATTTTCCTTTTCGGCCTGACAAATTCTGCTGCGACAGGTGTGTTTTCAACTGCCATCTGCGGAATCTTGCCAGTGGCAGCTGTCATTCCCTGGCTGAAGCTATTAAATCGCTATGTGTGCACAATACAATTATTTAAAACAAAGTTCGAAAAGGTAACAAATAAGTAATTTTCGGTTTTGGCCTGACAAATTCTGCTGCACGAGGTGTGTTGCAGTGCCAAACACGCCTTCCACCCACAGTGTGATTGCCCGCACTGGAATGTACGGTACTGCGAAGCAGTGCGTTCCAGTGTAGTGTAATTGCAAAAAATTGTGCAAGCAGTTTTATTCTAAAGTAAACTTTGTTTATAACACTGCATTTGTGTATTTTATTTTAAATGAGGGATGGTATTTATTTGATCATAAAAATCTTTAAAGTAATCGATTTATGAAAATAATCATTAGTTGCAGCCCTAATCCCATCCCCCACATTTAATGAACAAAGTCCAGCCTTGGTGACAACCACAACTCACTCCATAGATGCGGGGGAGGAATGAACTTGCTCACCCAGGGACAAGGAAGTGTTGCTAGCAAGATTACAGGGTAAGAATACAAAGGGGGGAAAACCAAGAAAAAGAAAGGTAATGCAAACACATTATCCAAGGACTGGTAAGCTGCAACATAAATATACAAAGGTGTCTGCATTTTTTGTTTTTTGTGGACACGTTTGCTCATATACTTGCCTTTCCCCCAGCTTCTGCCCACTCCATGGGTAGGGGGGCAAGGATGACATCTCCATCAATTCCGGCAAGGTCCTCACCATTCCCGAGTACCCAAAATCTTGCAAGAATGCACTATGCCGGAGCATCATCTACTTTTTCTATTTCCATCACAGCTGTTTTTATGTGGGATAGGGATGTGAAGACAATGGACCTTGCTTTATTAGCTTTTGGTTGTAGCCAGAAGGCCCATCCTGGAGCAATGTAAAATAAACTGCTTACCTAGCAATGTAAAACATTCTACCTGCCTGCTCCCAATGCAGTTCTTGGGACATACACAGCCAACTACCAGGCCACAACAAGGATTGGGAAAATGCCATTCAGTGTTGAGTTAAACATACTTGATATTGACAATTACTGTTGACTTTGGGGGACTGGCAGAAGGAGACAACAGTAAAGGCAAGCATAGAAAATGGAGGGTGCTATATGCATACTTTTTTTTTTGGAGTGTGCATGGTGTGCAACTCCGTTAGGGTCTCTGAACAGTAGTGCTGTGCCATCCCATGCACTGTTGAAATCTGCAGCATTGTATGCAGTTTTTATTCAGCACATTGTACATGACACCTGCATTGTGGCCTGAATGGGGCATGTAGAAAACAATTGTTTTCCATGTGCTCTAGCCATCACCTGTAGTTTCCTTGTGCAGAAAAACACAGGTCGGCGCTATGTGTAACACATGGCCTTAAATTGCTCATCTCACTTGCCCAACTGTTTCATAGCTTTTAGTGCTGTTCGGTCAACCAAAAGGTTCAGTTGTATGTGAGGTGTGTTTAAGTGTGTGCGTTTTTATTTTTTCGCCTCCTTGAGGGGATTTTAGACAGGAGATGCTCATGCCCAGGGGTACCTGTAAAAAAAGACATTCGTGTAAAGCCTTTTCTTTGGGGAACTAGTGATTGGTCATGTTGAGTATTTTGCTTTCCATGAAATTAGGCTGATGCAGGCAGCATTCCCTACATGCATGTTTGGGAAGCTGTTAAGAAAAAAGGATCATCTTAGCTGTTGACTTTCAGATCTAGTGATGAGCCTGGGCTGACTGTCACCCCCTCCTGACTTCATCAGAGGGATGCATTCCCAGGCCACAGCTATACGTCACAATGGGGGTAGGGAATGCCCCTGACGTAACTACAGCCACTGATTGGGCCAGGGAATGGGGAGAGTGGTGGTTGCTAGTTTGGCTGACCTTTAGGCAGACTACTCTGTAATGGGAACCCGCTTAAAACCCAATTTTTATTTTTGCTATTTTCTTTCATTTTTTTGTGACTGACTTTCAGTCACTGTTTATTTTGTCAAATAGAGGTTAGTATTGTGCTACAAATTGGTAAAAATGTAGTGAAAAATTTTCATTTTATTTTTTAGAACATGTTTGCATTGACAAGTATTTATTGCTGGTGGTAATGTCCTTTTTCATAGAACCTTTCCTGCCTTCAGATATACATCAGTTTATTTTATTTCCCTACCTTATTTTTCTTTTCCTCCTCTTCTGACAGTAGTCATTTTCACTAAGGGCAGACAAATCAATCTCCCTTTACTTCCTGGACCTCTGGCACATGTGGCTAGGACATGTGACAATGCACATCATCTCAGGGGTAAAAAAAAAATGCCTTTCCCTGAGATCCCATGAGATTACAGATGAGATTTCCGAGCAATGCTCTGTGATGTCACCCAGATTCCCAGGATGTATCAGTTGGGCATTGGCTACATCACTTACACCTAGGAGAACCAGGAAGAGGAACAATTACCAAGTACAGTGGTACCTCGGTTCACGAACGCTTCTGTTCGCGAACAGGAAGTTCGGCCAAATTTTGCTTCCTTTTAAGAACTCAGCATCGGGTGACAAACACAACCGCAGCCATCTTACCTGTTCTGACACATGGTTGTTGCTTTCTCTAGTCGTGATCGCGGTCTGATCACAGTTTGATTCGGTTCACGACGAGAATCATGGAACGAATTAGTTTGTGAACCGAGGTACCACTGTAATATTTGTGGGGGGGGGGGGGTTTAGTGAAAGGGGGTAAAGTTCCACTTTAACAGCAGCAGATAAGAATCAAATCATCAAGGTCGATAGGCTAGCTTTGCTATTTGGCTGGACTGTCTAAAGCTGGCCAGAGACCGTACAACCACCGCAAGACTCTTGTCTTGCGATGGTTGTAAGGTAATTTTAAAAAACATATGATCTGCCTATCTTGGACAGGCAGATCGTACTTGCGATAATCGCAAGCGCGCCCTGCTGAGGGGCGGGCTTCCGATGACCTCAATGCTGAACGGGCAGTGTGCAATTGCGGCATTTATCTTATGGACATGCCACACAACCGCCGACAAACGTACGATTCTCGGCGGGGTTTCGAACATGCTCCTAAGATAAAAGTTGTGCGACCTTACAGTAGCAGAGTTTGCACGCCTTCCACACACCTTGCGGGATTTCCTGCGATTATCGTACGATTATCGCAAGGTGTGTGGGCACCTTAAGGCTTTTGGCTTAGGCGGATGCAAAACAGCATAAATAGATGGAGAGATTTATTTTTAGCATGCAGAATTTACCTGTTGTTTTTCTGGCGTTCTGTTTGCAGAATTTTACAGGATCCATTCCTGTCACTAATTTATTAGTTGTTGCTGTCAACATTCAGATGTGTTCACATTTTCTCTGCATTTCCTTTTTGTAGATCTAATGCAGAGTATCAGATGTAATGTGTTCTCATTTGCCTGTGCATATAATTGTCAGAGGGCCAACAAAAGTGGTGCTAATGTTTTCCCTCTCTGCTGTCTGTATAATATGAGAAGTTGTGTACACATGAACAAACATTCTAAATCTATATGCTACTTTGCATTGCCAATACATATTCTTGCATACCTCTTACAGTGCAGAAACAGAACAAAGAAAAGAGACAAAGCCTTAGAGGTAAAGATGACAAAGGCTGCAGGATGAAAGTTACAGTATGCACAACATACACCGCTAATATTCACATTTTTTGTCCAAACAGGGTTTGTTAAGGATCCACGTTTCCCAGAAGTAGACAGGTAGGCAATGCTTGCTTTTGGTTTTAATTACATTTTCATTTCATTAAAATCATCTAATGTTTTCTTTTCCCTCCACAGAAGATTTACAGGAGTTCGCAGAGATGTGTTTTTAAATGGAGTAAGTTTTAGTTCAATTCTGTTTCTGAATTGTTGACTACTTTTCTGTTTTAGATGATTTGATAATTGACAGCTTAGAAATTATTTTCAAAGTTTAAGGGCAGGTTCACACCATTTTCTGGAGCAGATCTGGTCCGAAAAATGGTGTGAACCTGCCCGCAGTTCCAGTGCATTCTAGACCAGACAAAATGAGACATGCAGTATTTGTCTGGTCTGGAATGTACTGCGCTGGTGTGAACAGAGGCCAGAAATAGCATAGGGATACATTAGAATGCATTTTAGGTCCGGAATTAGTCTGGTCTGGAGATGATCTGGATGTGGTGTGAATGCTTTGCAATAATCTAGAACTGGTAATGATCTCTTTAATAGTGTATAGCTAGCTGAATAACTGCTGTAGGCAACAGAGACCCTTGCAGGGTGGCATGCAGTTTGTGCAGACACCGTTCAGATCGAAGCATGCAGAGCAAGATTAAAAATAGGAATGCACCAATACTGAGCATGTGGGAAAGTACTAGTACTCGCCAGATTTCCCCCAATACTGACACTTCCAGTGCCGTAAGAGAGCATGGAGCTGGCTCCCGGCCAATCAAGAAGCCAGGCAGCGGGTCATGAACCACCATAGCTTATAGCTGGGCTGCAGGAGCCCAGAACTGACAGCCCAGGGACCGGAAGTGATGCAATCTGCATCGCTCACGGTCCCATAGAACGGGGATCGATGAACGGAAGTTCGTCGACCTCCTCCCCGCGGACACCAAGGAAGCCGGGCCTGTGGGAGGGGCAACGTAGCCCGGGGGGCGGTCTACGGGACACAGAAGCGAGTCTGTTTAAACAGCCCTGATGCTGGCGACGTACACTGTACATCGTCAGTCATGAAGGGGTTAAAGGGGGGGAAAAATTGATGTGACTTATACATACGATGTCCTTATGGCACGGACAACCATGACTGAATAATTCAGTCATTGGTCCTTAAGGGATTAAGTGGTTTATATAATCGGATTTAGAACAGCTCACTGCTCCTTTATGTTGGCCACTCCAATCCATAGACTGCATTGTTTTCCTAGGAATATGTAAAAGTGAATCTTGGCCATATACAAGAAATATGGGATTAATGAAAGAACTCTCGCCATGTATGAGCTGATTAGCACTCCTGAGTGTTAAAATTTGTCTTTATGATTTGTATAGCGGATTGCTCAGAAAATATTAGTCTTTGTACTTTTAGTAATGTGATTTAATCTCATTGAAATGTGTTTACTTTCGCAGTCCTACAACGATTATGTGAGAGAATTTCATAACATGGGACCACCTGCTCCGTGGCAAGGAATGGTTTGTACAGTTACTTTTTGCTGTCCGTATATTAAACAATTTGAATTTCTACAAAAGTTCCACCTCTCCAAACCAGCCTGCCTTTGCTCCATGCACAATCCACACAAACAACGGTCGTGCTTCCAGTGACCTCACTCGTATTGCATGCAGCATTATTAAACAAAGTTACCACTCATACTATAAAGACCTGTAAAGTAAGAAAGGTATACTTTGTGCTTGCTTGTTGGCTCGGGTTTGTGTGGTATTAACCCTCATATATTTATATGACCTATAGTCATAGTATTTTAAATGGAACCATGTCATGAATACATTTTTACCTGTGGGTTCATGATATAGATAGATATTTATATTTGATATTTGCTTGTACTGTGGTCAGTTGCAAGCATCTTTAGAACCTACAAACATATAAATCTCAGTCTTGAGATTGAGATGTTGCCAATAGGTTTTGTTTTTTTGAACCCCCTCTATACCCATTTGCAACCCAGTGTAAAATTAATCTCCATTATGCAGTTTTTTGTTTTAATGAAAGATTAACATGGCCTTTTTTTTTTTTCTTTCCTCCTTAGCCTCCATACCCTGCAATGGAACAGCCTCCTCATCACCCATATTATCAGCACCATGCTCCTCCTCCTCAGGCTCATCCACAGTTTTCAGGTCACCACCCAGGTCAACATGACACTAGATACCGGGACAAACGGGTTGTAAGTTATCACTGTTAAATTTAAAGACATTTTTGGATTGCAACTGCTGTATGGGGGTTCTGATATATTCTGATATAGATGTTGGAGCTGCCCTTGCTGACCTTATTTGAAGAATGCTCTGTGGCCTCCGTTATTGAGTCATTGACTGATTTAGTAGAACTGGTTAAGTTAGAACCCATGATCCGCATTCTTGTGCCTGTAACTCCAGGAAGTATTGAAGTGATCAGCATAACAGCCCTGAAACCGGCATTTTCATGAGGAGAATGGCAAGGCCAGCTGTGGACTGTGGACTTTTCTCAAACCAGTCTATACGGACTTGATGTAAAATTTTAGCACCCTTTCACACGGGTGCAGTCTGCTCCAATCAGCAGGGAATCCGTGCATAGATCACTGCTGATTGAAGCAGTATGAAACGAGTGCCACTCTTCTGACATCCATGTCCGTTCAATTTCTTTCTCCATCTTCCAATGGAATTTAAAAAAAAACTGAGCTGTATGGACCTTTGTTGGGTCTATGGAGAAACGGATGTAAGTGGACATGTCAATTTACATCAGATTACCTCCAATCCATCATGATCCATCTTTGTTCCTTTTTTTCACGAACCTAGACGGAGTCGGAGGTAATTGGATGTAAACAGACTGGCGTCTGTTTAGATGTGACTGACCATAGAGTGAAAAACTGACAGATGGTTCTGATCGAACCACTCCTATGATGACAGGAGCCTTAAAATGCAAATGCTTTGATAATCCAGCATCCAGTTCTTAGAGGTTTTGCAATTCATATACAACATATGCTAGTTTATACATGTATACTGATTATTTTCAATGGGTTGTATTTGTTCTCCAATTGCCTGTCATTTATTTTAAGTTTCTGCACTTTTTTTTATTTTTTATTGAAGCCCACTCAAATTCAGAGACAACATTTGTTACTGCAACACTGAGAAAGAACAACTTGTGTTCTGTAATATTGTACCTTGTACTAACTTTATGTTAAAAATTAACTTTTCCACTTTTGCCTCCTTCTCTTTATCAGCATGACTATGACATGAGAGTTGATGACTTTCTGAGACGCACTCAGGCTGTTGTCAGCGGCCGAAGAAGCCGCCCTAGGGAGCGAGAACGTGAACGAGAAAGGCCCAGAGACAACAGGAGAGACAGAGGACGTGAACGTGATCGAGACAGAGAGAGAATGCGTGACAGAGACCGGGGAGACAGAGGCAGATACAGAAGATGATTTTACCGCATTGGTTTATTTGCGTTTTTCCTTGTCTCTTGTGTGTTTACAAAGTAGCAACATTTCTGTTAAAGCAGTCTAATTTAAAGAATTAAAAATAGTACGCTACTTTATTTTTTTTTTTTTTTTTGGCTTTAAACCTTTGTTCGTGCACGTACTGTATTAACTGGATTAAGCTTAATATGGCTGAGACAGTGCACATTGATATATTGGAGATGAGCCTTTTCAGAGGGAAAATTATACATACCTGTGTAAATGTTCTGTATTTTCTGTATATTTTCTTAGAATGCGTTTTTTTCGCTCCATATTCGGTCAGCTGTGCATAAAACCATAAACACTTTATTTAAAAAAAAAAAATAATGAAAGATAATTGACACATCAAGAACTGCCGCGTAGTAGTGGATTTTTGTTTCCTTCCCTTCTGCATCCCCAAAGTACCTACAGTTGATCTGTGAAAACAATGCTGCTATAAAGTATGCAATTTTTTGAAGGCTAAACTGAATGAACGTAAAACAAGTCTGAAGTTTCCCACTCATTACAAGATGACGAAAGCAATACTTTTAACCATATTGCATTTTTAATAATTTTGTTCACTTGTTTTTGATTGGTGCTCCACCATTCATGTCTGATTTTTCAGACTCTTTAATGCGGAGTAGAGACTGTCTGTATTGTATGTTGGTTGTATGACCATGTTGGCTTTTCTCTCATTTTCTATTAAATTTATAACTTGTAACTTAATTTGTAACTGCAGTGGTTTCTTATGCCGTTTGATAGCAGCTGTTCGGCCAATTTTCCTTTGCTGCGACGCATCTCTTAATTTGTGTAGTCTTATACCATAATGCATTATACTGTGCCATTTTTATAATAAAACCACTGTGGAAATATACGTTTGGATCCTTGGTCCAGTGGTTAATTTGAATCCTTATCGCTACTGGTCTTTATTCTGTACTACTGTAGTTAGTTAAACACTGGGCAGATATGCTAGAAGGAAAAAGCAGAATGCTAAGCTCAGTCCACTCACAGGGAAAGGGCAGGACCTGTAAGTGTTAACTGTGAAAGAGAAAAATTAAGTGATGATAATCACTAGATGGGGACCTGATAGCGGGAGACTCCCGGCGACCCCTGGCAAATTGTCATTCGACCCCCGAAGGGGTTGAGAACCGCTGTTCTAGAGTCTTATATTTAAAATGTACTACAAATTACTGATCAAGCTAATGTTCTATGAGCTATATAGGTATTAGAGTTTTAACGGGTTCCTTAAGACCTAAACATTATTCTTTTTCAAGGGTTCCTCTGGGGTAGAGAGTTGAGAGGTTGCAGTAGAGAAACATGGAGGCTGCAATGTTTGAGCTCTGTTTCAGGACATGTTGGCTGCCTGGCTGTCATGCAGACCCTCTTAAGTACTTTGAGTTACTGACTAAAACATACACTCAATGGCCACTTTATTAGGTGCAACTTGCTAGTAGTACGTTGCACCCCCTTTTGGGATGGACGTGGTCAGCAACAATACTCAGGTAGGCTCTGGCATTTAAAAGATGACCAATAGGTACTAAGAGGCTGAAAGTGTGCCAAGAAAATATACCACCACCAGCCTGAACTGTTTATACATGGCAGGATGGATCCATGCTTTCATGCTGTTGATGCTAAATTCTGACCCTACCATCTGAATGTAGTAGCAGAAATCGACTCATCAGACCAGGCAACGTTTTTGCAATCTTCTATTGTACAATTTTGAGCTCTTGCAAATTGTAGCCTCCGTTTCCTGTTCTTAGCTGACAGAAGTGGCACCTGGTGTGGTCTTCCGATGCTGTAGCTCATCTGCTTCAATGTATTGTGTGTTCAAAGATGCTCTTCCGCATACCTTGGATGTAACGAGTGGTTATTTGAGTTGCTGTTGCCTTTCTATCAACTTAAACTAGTCTGGCCATTCTTCTCTGACAACAAGGCATTTTCATCTAGAGAAGTGCCCCTCGCCTGATATTTTCTCTTTTTAAAACCATTCTCTGTAAACCCTACAGATGGTTGTATATGAAAATCCCAGTAGATCAGTTTCTAAAATACTCAGACCAGCCTGTATAGCGCCAACAATCATGCCACGTTCAAAGTCCCTTTTCGTCCCCATTCTGATGTTCAGTTTGAACTTCAGCAGATCGACTTGACCATGTCTACATGCCTAAATGCATTGCGTTGCTGACATGTGATTGGCTTATTTAGATATTTGTGTTGAGTAGTCGAACGGGTGTACCTAATAAAGTGGCCAGTGTGTGTGTATATGTCAGTAAGCTCTTCTAACTAATTTCTTCAGCAACCTAAAACAAAAATGAAAGCCTATTGGCATCTAATTTAAACAGGCCCCTATTATGATGTGTTAAACATCCCCAAACTAAAGTTAAAGGTTGCTTTAAAACCTTGAAAAAAAGCTATGTGAAGCTTACTGAAAGCTTTCCAAATGCTTTTGTCAAATGTTGCTGTTCATACTGCTCATGTATACATGGGCTTCATCTTGTAAAGGCCTTGCTAAACAAAATAAGAAATAGCTACTAGTGTATAGAATCACTAACTTTAATACTCAGAACATGATTAGAAATAGTGTGTATATGTTCAGGGCAGTAAGTCAGCTCTGTAGTTGCAGTTTGGATCACTCGGTGGTTATCATAATTTACATTTCATTACCTGCCTCTGTTACCTGCATATGCTTTGAACAAAAAACAAAAGGTCCGGTAACTGCATCAAGAGTATAGTTTAGTGGTAAGGGATGCACCGAAATTTCATCTGCCGAAACAGATCGCACAAAAATGGCACTTTGGGCAAAATGCAGAAAGTACAATTTTTTGCTGAAATTGTGGTGCATTAGTTTCTCTTTCCTACTGTGTGTTGCTCTGTCCCCTCTTGACACAGCGCAGGGGAAGGAGAGAAACTGTCATGAGGCCAGGCAGGGAGGAGAGTGGTATCGTTGTCCCAAGAGGCTGAGCTCTCCTGCCCCGCTCAGACTCCTGTGGCAGATCAGGATGAAGACTGGTGTGGGGGCGGAGACAGCTGTCACAAGAGGATGCAGGGGAAGGAGTCGGCTGTCAAAATAGAGCTCTCCTCCCCGCCGGCTCAGCCTCCTGTGACAGCGGGTCAGAATGGAGAGTGCGGGTGCAAGCAGTCAGTGATCGCTGACTGTAAATAATTGACATAGTATGTTTACTGTTTCCCCAGTTATGAATGAACAGGAAGTGCTCTACATCACTTCCTGTTCATTCATGTTTGTGGACATAGTAAACATACTATCTCCATAAGTTATGGATGAACAGGAAAACTCAGTGTAGAGTCTTCCCATGAATAACGGGCTGCAGAAATAGATTTAGGACTGTCCTCACTCTCTTTTTCTATTGTAAAAGGGAAATATCAGGACTCTGTTTAGACCCCTAATATTTTTCTAGAGCCCCCAACATTAAAGTAAAAAAATATTTAATAAAGTTTAGGAAAAAAATTAGAAAAAAAATAACTCGGTTTCTGCCTTTTTTTTTATTTTCGTGTTTCAAAATTTAATTAGTCTCCTAGTTAGCAGCAGTTTACTTCAAGATTATCTTTGTTTTGCATGCTTTGATTATATCTCTACTTGGAAGACGTTTAGAGCCAATGAGGTCATCATTTGAGTTTGTGTTTAAATTAAAAAAATGCAATTGTGCAAGTTTATTTTAGTTTATAGCAAGTAGTTTATTAAAAACGTTTTAACAAAGAAGCTCTACAAATGATTAATTGTTTAATACATGAAAAGAACTTAACATGATTTATGACATTAAATGCCCCAAATCAGTGCATGAGTTTTGTAAAAAGCAAAATACAATCATTCTTTACAGCCAAATCAATTCCAGTGTAAAGAGGACAATTCCTGTAAGGCCAGCTGCCGTCACCATTTGGCATGCTGCAACGCCAGAGAAAGGGTTAAAGCACAGCTACAGACAAATATTAAAGACTCTTCATTTATACAGCATTAAACATCTTGTTTTAATACAAGCAGTGTAGGTACCTGAATTTAACCTGGTATCTGCTTTTTGCAGTCCCTATATTGCATAGCTCAGTCTAGGAGAGGGAGAATCAGCACAAGGAACCTGTCTGTTGTCCTGCAATCCTCATGTGCTAACAAGGAGCATTCTGATAGATGAGTGTGAAATGACACTCCACAAGCACCAATTTGCTGCTTAGCCGTTCATCACTGTCCAGTGACAGGCTTGGGAAGAACAAGACCTGTAATACTTAACAGGTAAAGGCAATCATTTTATTAGATTCAGATAGTGGTGAGGAGTTAGAACCACTGTCGAGTTTTTAAAGTGTCCCTGTTACCATGTTAGCACCCTCCCTGTTAATTATCCTGATCAATGCCATGGGGATTTTAAGTGAGGGTAAATCCAATTTCTTTTTTTTTTGCCAACAGAACAGGATATCTTTCAATGGGGACACTTGTTCCCATGACAACTGTCTAAAAGGTGATTTCCTTCACATTGGGAAGATATATTTACTTACTGTTGAGTTAACAAGGCAGGAAGTGAAGGCAACAGGACACAATGACAAAAAAAAATAAAAAAATTTGACAGCAGTTTTAACCCTATTCTATCTAAAATGGGAAATAAATTGGTATTAGATATTTAAAATCTCAGATGGTAGGTGCTCCTTACAAACCAGTTATACAGACTGTTAAGTGTATGTTAAGGATTAAAAAAGCTCACCATTCTTCCATGTAGAGCAAAGGACATGCTATCCCAAATGCTCACCCCACACTCCTCAGCAGTCAACCGTGCCATATGCCAACTTGCTGAGCTTCATCTTCTCACTTCCTCTTGTCAGGTCTTGTTTGCAGGTTAATCCTCCATCCTGTATGACATCTGCCGGATCTCTGCATGGACCTACATACTTTTAATTAGATGTCTGGCTCTTGTTTCAAAAGTCTGACAGACTTTTGGAACAAGAGGCAGAACATAAGGTTGGCATATTACGTTTTTCCCCCCACTGGTGGACTGCAATAATTTTAGAAATTGCTGGCTGTCGGCGCTATGTGAGGCAATTGGGCTGATTTATTAAAGGAGTTAAAAATCTGTAAATTCCTGTTTAAGACTGGATATTCAGTATGAGCAGGAATTTGTTCACATGATTCAATAATTGAAGTAAATATTCACGCAATTAAAATTCTTAACTCCTTTAGTTTATTAGCCACAATGTGTACATACAGCCAAGACTGACTACTGTTCAGGGTTTACATAATTATATAGACCAGAAAGTAGAGTAAATCAGGGTTTTGGGGAACCTCCGGCCCTCCAGCTGTGGGGTAATTACAGATCCCATGATGCATCTGTCTCTGGGAGTTATGCCTGTGAGAATCTTGCAATGCCTCATGGGATTGTTTCCCCCACATCTGGAGAGCAGGAGGTTCCCCACCCCTGATTTAAATGAAGTAATTGTTTTACCTTCACTTTGTCCAGCTCATGAGCATCCTGAGGAAATTTCTCTTCATTGTTTTGATGTTGTGTGGCTTGTCAGGATTTATCTGTCAGCTACAGCTCCCTTTGGCGTTCATATTCTTTATTTGTTCTACCTGAAGGTCATAGAAAAGGTTGTTCAGCTTCTAGATCTAGCTCTAAGTGGACTCGTCAGGTTGTCATTTAAGCTTATGAGTTGCTGGATAAAGTTCCTGTTTCTCCTCATTCTACTAGGGCAGTTAGTACTTCTTGGGCATTTCAGAATCAAGCTTCTGTTACTCAAATTGCAAGGCTGCAATCTGGTCTTCTGTTCCTCCTCTGTGGGGTTAGAACTTGGTCTTCTCAACTTTTGCTATGTTTTATCAAGTTGATGTTTCTGCCTCTTTTGATGCAAATTTTGGCAGAAAACTTCTTCAGGCGGCTGTTTGAGCATTTCATCTGTTTGTTCTAGTTTTTATGCCCCTCTGTTTTGGACTGCCTTTGAATGTCCCTACGTCTCAGAATTCTTCAGAGCTATGTCCCTCAATGGACGATAGGGAAAATAGGATTTTGTTTTTACCGTAAAATCATGTCCTTTGAGTCCATTGAGGAACACTGCTCCCTCTCCTCGTATCCTTTCCAGCTTTTTTAATTTGTTGCCTAATGTCCATTTCTCCTGGCGGCAGCAGCATAAACCTACGTTTTAGAATTCCTCAGAGCTCTTCCCCTCAATGAACTTCGAGAAAAGGGTTTTATGGTAAGAATCAAATCTTATTATATTGCAGCTTACCAGATCATAGATTTTTTTTATTAGGTTAGAACACTTTACAGTAAATACAAAAAAATACCTGTTGATCTTGCCAAAAATGCAGTGTCCCAGAATCTTTAAGTTGAATTGAAGCTAATCTTGCTTAAAAGCCTCTCCTAATCATTTCTCCCTCATGAATTGGACATGAAGAGCTGAGGACATTTGTATTCCATATCAAGAGACAACTATAGCTCTCTCTCCATAGATACAGTGTGGCACAGACGATCTAGAACAGGAAGTGTGTTATTTGCAGGATTATTATTATACAGGATTTATATAGCGCCAACAGTTTGTGCAGCGCTTTACAATATAATTACCCAGGTCACTCTAAAGGGAAAAAAAAGCATAAAAGGAAAACGAATAAGCTGCAATATAGTAAATTTCTTGTGTTTGGTTTTAGATATACACTAAACAAGCAAGCTTGCAGGTTTCTGTACTACTTCAAGCTTAAATTAAAAGTAGTAAAACATTCTTCTGCATTCCCACTCCCTCCATACTCTGCCAGCACCTCAATGAGCTAACCATCTGAAAATCACTTGACAAGTTATATTGGTTCAATGTGTTTTTGGTTTGTGTATGTTATTGTGTATAAGATATAGGGACATTAAGGGGGTTGTGCTGCACTTACTGTCATTGTACTACTAGAAGCTTGTTGAAAGATTGGCAGTAGCTTTTTTTAAAGCCTTTTTTACAAATTGCATCTGCTGTACCCTGTAAAGAAAAAAAAACGTAATACTGGCCTGTCCAGTGGTTGGTTGGAAGAAACGTGCAGCGTTCCACGGGCTGATACTGATCCACAATTCTAGTTGTAAGGAAAAGTGTGTTCACCGCTTTGATTCCTCCCAACAATCCTATGTTACTACTATGTCCTGCAGTAGCTAGAGGTCTGCAGACGGAACCAGGGCAGCCATTGGGGACATGCTATTCTACAAACCTGAAGGGTCAAATAGTATCAGGTCTTCTAGAAGAGAGCAAAGTTTTAGCAAACTGACCACCGAACAGCTAAGTATATTTGTTTTTTTTCTAACATGGTACTGCAGATGCCAATTTTTTAACCCCCTGACAGTGTTGCTTTAAAATGAGTCAGCACTCCCATTTACCATTAGGATCTGTGTATAACATCTACATAACTGAACTGAATTTGCTTTAAAGGCTTCAACCAAGCTGCTTGAAGCTTGCTTAAAGCTTTTTAAAATACTTTGTAAAAGCTTCCGTATACATTGCTCTTTCACATACTGAAACCTGTATATACAGATGGCCTTAGTGTTACTATTCACACATTACTTACTATATCTCTGATTCCAGGTCTACTTAAATTCTTTCTGATGACACTGAACCAATCTAATATGCAGATTAGGATTTCCTATGTAATGTTGACTTTCACCGTATGAGGTTTAATGTATTGAAGCAATTCAAATGGTGTGACAGCCAAACAAAATATCAATAGCATCCAGCATATTTCTTTTATGACCAGTTTCCTTTACATCTGAGGATACATAAGCCACTGACATTTCAATAAACGTATGTAAAAGATTGTTCTTTTAAATATAGTGATTTAAAATGTGTACATCTATCTAAAACAACCTGCTATAACTGAAATGATAAAATGTAGGCAGCCATTACTAACCCCATTCTGAAAATGCTGGTTACCTGTCTGTTAAGTCACTGGCCCAGGGCAAGTATGCAGCACGTGTGGTTTGTACTCCTGACCTCTGTTCTTGTTTGGGGTCAGATTCAGGAAGTATTAAAGCGAAAAGACCATCATGACAGACAAGCACCTAGCATTTTTAATAGGAGAGTTCAGCAATGACAGCCTAATTAACGCATAACAAATTACCTTTGAGGGCCTTTTTTGGCAAGCTTTTGTTTGGATCAGGTGGGTTTTGCAATCCCATACAAGTCTATGAGAATGCAAAGCCTGCTTGAAGCCGTCAGAAGTATGTCAACTGCACCTATCAATGAATTCTAAACGATCTCAGAAGCAAGTCAAACTAATGCCATTGGCACAAGCCCAAAGCCTATTGACACATGCCCTAAAGGTAACCTGTACAGAGAAAATGGTTAGGATACTGTTGTAGAACTCATTTTGAGTTGTTGATAGAACAAGCATAAGGACTAGGAGTTCTGACTTTTTTTTCACTTGACTAGCTGGATGCTCACCCTGGCTCATTGAATGAAAATGCTGAGGCCAGAGACAGCCAGGAAATTAACATTTTTTGAAGTTCAATTATGGCAGCTCCCATATTTCTCTTATGACATGTTGTTTACTTTAAAGGCATATTCCACCCAGATCTGACATTCTAGTTAGCAGTTGAGGTTGATGATGGGCTGAATGTCCTGGCTGCTTATTTATACTCTGATAGCACCTATATTTAGGAACGTGTGTAGATCTCACTCCACCAGAGTAATCCAGTGGTGATTCTTGTCACGATCTCCCTGAAAATGAAATACCATTGGTGAGTGGACTGATGGAAAGTTTTTCAAATATCTGTTATACATAACTATCATTAGTAAATAAGCCAGCTTGGTAGATGCACTAGTCCTTTATTATACATTTGTAGAATGCTTGGCAGTAGTAAAAATTTAGTGTTTAAAATACACTTCACTTGACTTTGTACTCAAGGCTTTTATTGATCAAAATAATACAAATTCTAAATTGAACAGCTATTCAAAATACTACTCAAGCTATCAATGCTTTTTCTGCTTTTTCTTGATTGGACGGCATTTTCTACAAAAGAATAAAAAGATCTTGACATTTATGTAAAGAATAGCGAAAAGGCAGACCAGCAGGACTCCAATGACATCCAAGCAGTGGTACTGATACCAAGTCAAATCATGGGAGGCAGGACGCAAATGCTTTGCTCCTTTGTGACGCATGACGAACTCTATCCAGAAAACGGCTCTGTCTAGTGGTTTCATTGGCTGGTCATGGTGGATACGTGATATCCTTAAGGCATTTTCTTTATACCTGAAATTGACCCACATTTGCAATAAATGTCATGGTTTTATAACAGTAGTAATATACATACTTAAAGATGAATCAGTGAAAAGACTTCGGACACATATGCATTAGTTTCTGTTGGGAGCTTATCCCGTGTTTTACATTTTTTTCTCTATTGGATATTTATCAAAATGTTTAATGGATTTCAGTTTTAAAAAAAGGCGCTTAGGACGGTATCATCACATTTTCATATGCATTCATACATGTAACAGCTACTGCAAAAATAGGATTTCTGTACTCATTGTAAAAATCCTTTTCTGTGCATTCATTGGAGGACACAGCTTAGAAATTGAATGTTAACTACTGGGTTATAGTGCCACCTGCAGGAATAGGAGACTAGATATATACAAAATAAACAAAAAACAACCCAGGAGTGATCCCTGCTGATGACCAAACCCCTACATTGCTAGCAAGGGGCAGCAATCAACAAAACCAGAGGAGCTGGTGCAGTGTTCTCTAATGAATTCATAGAAAACAAAATGACGGCAAGTTTAACAATACTATTTTCTTTCTCAGCTGTTGGAGAACAGGTTTTGAATCTTAACTACTGGGATGTCCCAAAGCAATGCCTTATAGAGGTGGGGGACATCAGCAAAAAAACAAACTGAAAATAGAGAAGCCTTTCCTAAAAGGCAGGGATGCCACCACCTTTACATTCAAAGCTAGCATCCAAAAATGCCAAAACATCAACCTTGTAAAACTCATTAAACTTATAAACAACCAACCAAATGGCCACCTTACAAAACTGAGAAACCGACGCCTGATGGCAATAAGCCCATTACATACTGACTATCGTAGACTGAGCCATGACTGGAAAAGCAGATTTTTAATGCCTACTCTATCTTCTGACGAATTCAGAAAGAGGAAATCATGGCAGAGGAAGCTAAAAGGTCCTTTCATGGTCCATCTATCAGAGAATCCAACTTATGAAAGGATACAATAGCACTCAAATAAACTCTAATATTCCTGACCATGACTAGAGAGTGAGTGCTAATGTATCTCTTTCTGATAAACAGGTCTATGACAGAATGATGACAGTACAATGTTCCCATGCAAATGACAAGATGGCACCAATATCAGTAGAAAAGGTAGCACAACCTTATTCTTATTGTTGCAGGACAAGGCCATCAATTCGAAAACCCTTCGAAATGACAAAAAAAAAGGCCACCTTATGGAAAAGGGTTAGGGCCTATTCACACATACTATGGGGACCTGCATTTTACCACACCAGTTCAATGCAGGGCAGTGCAAGGACACAAAAAAATCAATTGTTTTCTATGTGTCCCAGTCACACCACAAAGTAAGTATGATGAGTGGTGCGCTGTGATAAAATGCAAACATGGTGCATAAAGTTGAAAAAAAATCTAAATAGCGACAGCTCCAGCAGTGTGCGTTACAATGCACTAGCCCGTCAGCTAAAACGGAGTGCTTTAGTGGAAAGGCAAGTGTGAATGGGCCCTTAAAAAGGGAATCTCCCTTATGGTCTCAAAAAGAGTTTCAGAAGTGCTAAAAGCACCAGAATAAGGTCCCACAACATCATAGGTGGTTTAACTAGAGGAGTGTGTAACACCCTAAATAAAGACAAGAGAAAGGAAGCCAACGGATTTTGAAAATAAATAGCCAGTGCCAACACCCGGTCCTTAATGTTGGTCCAAAGCCCGCTAAAGAAAAACCAAAATCCTGGCTATAGACAAAGAGCAAGGATGAGCCCCTAAGGACACACACAAAGCAAAATAGGCTTTACATGTACAATAATAGATCTTCGATTAGTGGTCTTATTAATCTTAAAGTGTATTTCCACTTTTGCAGTAAATTTGAGGAAAATCCTCTATATGTTCGTTATGTGTTCCTATTCACACAGCATACTGAAAAGTTCTTACCGTTTAGATGATTTGTTAAATCTGGCAAGATGGCTGATTCCAGGTGTTTCTTAGCCCTTTTACAGTGGCCTGTCCTTATAGAAAGACATGGGACTCAAATTTGAGGATTGTGTTTATCTGATAAGCATCATTAACATACAATGGTCATGCCACCTTAGACCCCACACAGATATTTGAAAGAAATAGAAGCTGGAAGAAATTTCAACCCTTAAAACCCTAACCCAAAGTAAAAACTATTTAAACTGCAAGAAGCATTTTTTAATTTATTTTTTAGCTTATGCTATGTGAATGGGAACATGTAACAAATATAAAATAGGGGTTATCCCAATTTGGCTGTGAAAGTCTTACTAACCTTAAGCATGGCCAGTATTACCGCTATCCCCCAATACCTTGTTTTCAACAGCCAGGCAAGCTGGGTGTCAGTCGAAGTGTGTGGTTGGGGATTCTGGATCTTTAAAAAGTTTTCCTCCATGTGGGATACAAAGCCTTTCATAAATTAAAGTAAAGGAGTCCGAGTCCCAGGGCAGGGAGGGCCACAGGGTTCATGATGCTTTCCCAGAGGATGGGAGGGTGCTTCCATGTTCTGCAGTGGTTTCCAAATAGCACACAGGGAATCCTTGAGTAGCCTTTCAACAGCAATGCCACAGTGCAAAAAGGATTAGTAACCTTTTCTAAAGACTCACTCACAAAGATGCACCCCAATTCCTCTGGGCTGCATTGGATCAGACAGGCTGCCGCACATCACAGTAATGGTAATATGCATATAAGGGATGATATCACGTCAAATAGTGGGGAGGACGTGGAATCCTTATGGCTGGAACTGGATATGACGGACGATAGTCGTAAACTAATTGTGGGTATTTGTTATAAACCTCCAAATATAGGGGAGGAGGGGGAGGCTGATCTACAGTCCAAAATAGAAATAGCTGGAAGGGAGGGCAATGTAGTCGTGATGGGCGACTACATTGCCATTGCCAAATGAATACCGTTGGGTAATAAAAGTAAAAGATCACAAAGAAAACCTGTATGGCTGAATAAAAATGTAAAGCATCACATAAAGGAAAAGCGAGTGGCATTTATAAAATATAAGATGGAGGCGACGGCATTGGCGTTCCATAACTACAAAGAATGTAATAAAAGATGTAAACTAGTAATACGGGCGGCTAAAATAGAGTGCGAAAAGCATATTGACACAGATAGTAAAAAAAAAACCCAAAAATGTTACCAATATATAAACAGTAAAAAGGGGAGAAAGGAGCAGATAGTCCCAATAAAGGACGAAAGCGGGAAGTTAGTCACAAATGACAAGGAGAGGGCCGAAGTGCTGAACACTTTTTTCTCCTCAGTATACACTCAGGAGGGAAACGGGTTTGACGTCCATGATAAAACACAGAGTTCATCACAAAATATAGCCAAGTGGTTGACGGAACCCATGATACAACAAAGACTTTGGGGTTGATTTACTAACCTTATAAACACACCACGAACATGTATACACCTCTGTAGTGTGTTCCCTCCCAGCATGATCTATGGGTGGAATCTAAACACCTTTGTAGTGTGTACACACCCAGCAGGTGTGTTGTGCAAAGCCCTGCATGAATTACAAGGTGATGTTGTGTAAATTAGCTCTATGTTGTGTTGCTTGCGTTGATGAATGCAGGAATGTAAATGCATGAGCTAACCATTTTTGTCTAAACTGTGAAGCAGCATTATATATGCATCATGTGCATGATTTTTCCATATATGGCATTAGTGGAAATATGCTTTTAGAGACTTTTTGGTTGATAAATACGTTTTGCTGTGTGAAAATCACACGCACCTGGTGCGTGCGTGTGTTTAGGTTAGTAAATCACCCCCTTAGTCTTCCTGAGAGACCATAATGTACAAGGGTACAGGTACTCGTAAGAATGAGATGACTCAGGGACCTATACACACACAATAGGTTGGACTTATGTCTTTATTCAACCTCAAATACACCTCAAATGTAACTATGTAACCCCCAGTACCAAAAGGTCAGGGCCGGATTTAATCTTCTTGCCGCCCCAAGGCCAGGTTCAAAATACTGCAGCCATTAGTAAAAGCAAACACCTTTACCCCCCCAGAAAAGCAACGGGGCTAGGATGACCAGTTATGGACAACTGGCACCTCACAAGCAAGCAAATGGAAAGAATGGAAGATGAAGGAGGGAGACTGGGTGGGTGGTTGGCTTTATAAGCAGCAGTCTAACAACACCAGTGTTGAACAGATATGCTCTCTCTGTCATGGTGAGGAGCAGAACGCTTCTAACATAAGTTGGGATGTTGCTAGCCCAGGGTTTAGTCCCACAGGCTATCCATAGGAATGTAGGGCTGCTGCAGCCGAATATGCACATGGCAAGCAACTGAATGCATTCGAGGGCAAGACCAGGGAGACTGCCAGGTCTATATTTTCTGGTTTGTAACCTAGACAGCAGCATGATTGAAGAACAAAAATTTCAGCACAAACAAGAAACTAAATATAAAAAAAAAAGGTTCTAACTCCTGACTCTATCCGAAAATTTGAGCCTTGCTATCATAGTTAAAGTTTGGCTACCAGCAGGGACAGCCCCTAGGCTGTTCTTTTGCTTTTTGTATGTACTTTGCATTCTACTCCTGCCGCTGCCACTATAGCCCAGTAGTAAAGATTCAGGATTTGAACAGTATACTCTAATAAACTAAAGAGAGAGGAAGCTTAAAGTGACACTAAACTCAGCAGTTAAATCTTAAAAATGCATTCAAGTACTTTAACTATTAACAAAAATGTATCTTATTTGTGTATCACTCAGCTGTAGTTCCTCAAATCATCTCTGAATGGGTGCAGACACTGTCCTTCCTTCTGGAGGGTGGCAACTTTTGTTCCCCATGGTCCCTGTGTGTGTTGTAAAGTAGTCACCGCTCCAAGCTTGCTGATGGACTACAATCTTAATACAAATTAGTAAACTAAATGTGAGATTGTAGTCTATCACAGGAGTAAGCTTGGAGCGGTGGCTCCTTTACAACACACAGGGACCATGGGGAACAAAAGTAGCCACCCTCCAGAAGGAAGGACAGTGTCAGCCCCAATCCAGAGATGATTTGAGGATCTACAGCTGAGTGATACACAATTAAGATATGTATGGAATCTTTCAAGAACTGTCTAGATACTTTTCTCAGTGAACAAGACATACAGGAGTACAGGTAATCTTAGTAACACACACACAAAACCCAAAGGTTGAACTTGATGGACCTGTATCTTTTTTCAACCTTACAACTATAACTATGTAACTTAACAAAAATGTATTTTATTTGTTCACACACGCAGAACAATACACCCCCCCTTCTCGTCCCCCCCAGATAAAATATAAAAAAACCATCATCTGCACATTCCCTGGTGATCCAGTGGTTGATTAGTTAGGTCTGGTTACTAATCAATCCTTTCGGCCAGACCTCAGAGCTGTCAGAGTTCCGGCCTAAAGGACCTAGTGAGTGCCAGAGCTGACAGGAGCAGCTTTGCGGTCTACATCTGACAGAGGTGCAGACATGTAGCTGCGGGCTGGAATTGGCCTGCGATACGGTACTTGGAGACCCCCTGCAGAGCCTTCCTTCCTCCTGCTGACCAGGGGGTCATGTCTCAGTGGCTAATGGGACTTGCATTTTCTCCATTCACAGATCCTTTGAAAGGCTGAAAAAGTTTCTCTTCTGCCTGAATATTTTGTAGCCTGCCATTGTTTTGTCCTGCCCACTAACATACGCAACCTTCAGTTTATGTACCTGCTCTATCTCTGGGTACTCTACCATGATGATCCTGTCATCAGGTTCTAGCACTAAGAAAGCAAACTATAATGTGCTGGTTTAGCTTTACCATGGTCGTTTAAAAAAAGGCACATTTAAAAACCGGGAATGTGCAAAGTTCTTCTTGTTTCGTGACTTTAAAGCAAATAAAGCCCAATTAATTTTCATGAATGTAGGGGGGATTGAATGATAGGTAGAGGACAGGCTGGTCACATAACCTGTCAAAGTTATGTGGCTGGTCAATCCTCCTACCACAGAGTCTTCTCAGCATCATTATGCAGAGAACACTCCTTAGGACATCGTAAACTCCACACTAAGGCCTGCATTTTCTGAATTACTAACAAATGCGTGAAGTAAACATTGTGGTGTTCAGTGAGTAGCAATATCTAATTTACATTTTAAAAAGGTCACATAAGCCCATAAATACAGGCAAGCAGTAATGTATTTAGTGCTAGGTCACTTAGTGCTTAGTTAAATTGCAGTGAAGTTGGCATAAGATACATCACCATATAACACACATCACCATGATACAAGACTAATTTTAACTGCAATTATAATTTTACCTCATGGCATTTTTCTCATTAAAATGTTTAGTTCAAATCATATATATTTCATAGGATGCGGGTTTGGCATTCATTTTACACAAAAAGGATATTTAACTATTGAAAATCATTTTTTTACATAATAATCTGTGTATGGGAATGTGTATGTTTAAAGTATTGACCTTCAAATGGATCCTTTCCCTGCTCACATTTATCACCAGGCAGAACCTAGTAATATTTTATGGAGCGACAACTTGTGCAATAACTTTTGTGAATTGACCCTATAAGAGTGTGACAAAGGAACAATAAATGTCTTACGTTGGATTGTTGATGACTGTGTTCACTGCATCAACCAGGTCCTGGGATTTCATTTTGTTTATGTCAACTATAACTGCCATGCCTTTTGTCTTCATATGGATCATATTATCTGGCTGGTCAGCAAAGAGTGGAATTCCAACCATAGGAATGCCATGATAAATGGCCTCGTATATTCCATTAGTTCCCCCATGTGTAATGAAGGCTTTTGTTTTGGGATGACCTAAAAACAGAACAAAACCATTGGAATGAAACTAGTTTGGGCAATATGAATTAAATGAACAAATAGCAAAATAGTTACAATTTAAATACTCTCATTCCCTTCTGTTATAAGTTTGCCCTTGTACCAATGTTTTGCCTTTATAAATCAAGTTCACATTATGATTGCACAAAATACACTATCTGAAACATATCACATTCCATCTAAAGGACAGGAGCATTTTTAGCGAAATACTAAGTAACCTATTCCATAGACAGCCTTTCTACTCTGTTGAATCTCAGAGCACAAGTATGGCACCACATGCTGTAAACATTGCAAGGCCATGTGCAGCTTGCAGCAATAAGATGGCCATTAGACAGCATTTTAGGTTTGTATTTACAGTTCTGATGTGGAAAGTGGGCTGCAGAGTCTGTGTTGAAGGTGCACCTTTCCTTTAGGCTGGCTTCACACCTACAGGTGAAACTCGAATAATTAGAATATCGTGCAAAAGTTCATTTATTTCACTAATGCAACTTAAAAGCTGAAACTAATATATGAGATAGACTCATTACATGCAAAGCAAGATAATTCAAGCCGTGATTTGTCATAATTGTGATGATTATGGCTTACAGCTCATGAAAACCCCAAATCCACAATCTCAGTATCCAACTTCTTTTGCAATTACCTTTTGAGGCTTTCCCTCCTTATGGAGGATGTCAATGATGGTTTTCTGCACAACTGTCAGGTCAGCAGTCTTTCCCATGATTGTGATTCCTACTGAACCAGACTGAGAGACATTTTAAAGGCTCAGGAACCCTTTGCAGGTGTTATAGCTTAATTAGCTGATAAGAGTGGGACACTTTGATCCTAGAATATTGCACCTTTTCCCAATATTCTAATTTTCTGAGATTGTGGATTTGGGGTTTTCATGAGCTGTAAGCCATAATCATCACAATTATGACAAATCACGGCTTGAACTATCTTGCTTTGCATGTAATGAGTCTATCTCATATATTAGTTTCACCTATTAAGTTGTATTAGTGAAATAAATGAACTTTTGCACGATATTCTAATTATTCGAGTTTCACCTGTATGCATCTCCATTTCCATGTGTTTTTACATTGCCTCAAGCAGGTGTATTGTCATGCTTTGAAATGCATGGCCATTCCTATTAAAATCACCATAACATGCTTGGTGGTGGTGTCAAGATCCCTTCGGTGAGATCTTGGGAATAATGAGGATCCCAAATCTTATTAGCATACTTACCGACACTGTGATGGAGTGTCTTCTCATGAGATCTGGGATACTTGGCGTTCCCAGGCTCTCGCCAGAAGAATCATGACGTCACTTTCTTTAGTGCGGAATCAGGGAGTATTGTGAATATATTTTCTAAACTTTTTCTCACCTGTGTTTTGTTTTATACTTTAATGCAGCACTTTGTATGGGTGTGGGGGCCTAGATGTAATAAGCGGACTGCTTTTTAATGCTAGGTCTGCTTTACAGCCTTTACAGTGAAGGCATGGATCTTATTCATGGTTACACAGCATACTCACCTCAACAGTCTTATACTCAAGCTGTAATTTGACTGCATTCCCAAAAGACTTACCTAGCAGATCATTTTGTGGTATCCAGTCATATATTACTGTATTCTCTCCTAAAGTATCTGGTTTCTTCCCACTGTACCTCCAGATTACCTGTTGAAAAAATATGCGTTACATAATTACTAAGTTCAGGAGTTTTAGGTAGCTATTAAACCATAAGTGCACTAATATAGTGACTAACTCAAGTTTTCCGCGGATGATGCCATTTTTCAGGTCAGGATATTTTAGCACAGGTCAATAACCAGGAATATAAAACTAAATATATCATATAATCCTACTAGATTGTAAACTCTCATGAGCAGGGCCCTCCCACACCTATTGTTCTGAAACTGTATTGTACTCTAAATTGTATTGTAACTGTACTGTCTCCTTTATTTTGTAAAGCGCTGAGCAAATTGTTGGCGCTATATAAATCCTGTATAATATTAATAATAATATAATTGTAAAGTAACTAACTGGTTATAGATTTATTATAGGATAGGTGATAGATCTCACATATGTCAAGAGTTTATGAAAGACAAGATTACCTTCTGTGGTAACTGGCTTAGGGCAGCAGCAATGACATTGTTTCTATCTTCAGTCAAGTTTTTCACCATCGAGCCGAGGGAGAACACCACAATCCCATGTTCTCCAGAGCTTTGGACAACCTTTTCCATTTCCTAGGGAAAAAAATATATAGGTAATTGACTCAATGTAAAATAATTCTGGAGTATGCAAATCCACATAAGAATACTATACCAGGTACAACACCTATGATCAAACAGACCACACTCTCAATCAAGCACTGGTAAAGAAAATGGCATAGTTTTTGAACGAAGAGACTGAAAATAACATTTTGGATAATGAGTGGCTTGCGGGCATGCGATTATACATACATTAGGGCTGCAACAACTAATCGATTAAATCGATAATAATCAATTATGAGAATAGCTGGCAACTATTCTTTCTTATCATTGGTTAGTTGGTGGAGAGGGACCGAGGGGAAGAGGAAGAGAGAGATAATTTTTTAATGCAACTAATCGAAAAAATAATCGGGCAACTAATCAATTATGAAAATAATCGTTAGCTGCAGCCCTAACATATACACATACATACATTGATCGACTACTTTTGCTGGCATTTTAAACTACAACTATGGTCTCCCATTAAAAAAAATATGTTCTACATCACTTGATTTACATACATCTGCAATTTCAGTCTTTATTTAGTCCATCTGCGAAGTCTCACAAATATTTGTTGATCCTGCTAGTAATATCCACCTAATGCAGCTTCATGTATCAGGGTGACAACAGTGCTGCACTGCTCCTCCTATCTATCTTCAAGCCCAAGAAATTGTTTGCCCAGGGTCCAATCAGTATTAAAGACGGCCCTGCCTGTACCCCTTACATCCACAGTGCACTACTCATAGCACAGGTTGAAGGCATGGCCGTAGATAATTTTTTTTCCTGGGGGGGGGGTTCAGCTTTCTCAAATTATAAGACTTTATCTAGCAGACACACCAGGGTTTGAAAAAAATATACCAGCCATATCATTCCTAAACCAATCCTTTACCTTGAGCAATACCGATTTAGTTGTTTGACACCATATGGAAAAAACATGTTTTAAAAAGACTCGTAATTGGTACCTACCCACTGCACATTTTCATTGAGTATTTTCAAAAAATACTTAGTAAAAATATGCAGCAGACACCAACCAAAAGTCTATTTAAAATAAACGAAAGTGGGCCCAAATCACCTGGACTGGAGCAAACTTTAATTGTTGCACATATCAATCACTTAGATCTTTGCTTCTGTATTCTTAGGTTCTCTTAAAAATTGACACATGGAATCTCAAATTAGTTTGCGGAACATACCGGATCGCATCCCAGCCAGATCACTGTGTTCTGGGGTGGGAGGTGCGTGGTGGTGCATTGAAGTCAATGGCACCACAGCCGCGCCCCGCTGACCGCAGCACTATCGCCTGCACTAGAAGGTGTGGCAAATCAATGCATGCAGCTATTTTTCAATCTTCCAGATTGTCCTCCTGATCGCTGTTGCTTCTCCTGCAGGATGTCTCTGCACTGCCCAACCTGCACGGAGCTACTACACAGATGAGATCCTGCCAGCTCCCTCACCGCGGTGCATGCTGGGAAATGGAGTTCCCTGAACGGCCACACCCCCTGTGTGTTCACTGGGCTGTCTCTCAGACTCTGTCTGAACTGCGGTCGGCAGTCCACAAGTAAAAAAAAACAGAGTCAGCTACCAAACAGCTCTCCGTACACCTAGACACTCTGGGGGGGGGGGGGGGTTTGAACCCCCCTATCCCCCCCTTATCTACGCCCCTGGTTGAGGGTGCCGTGAGTAATTCACTTGGAGGACTGAGGAGGGGGAAAAGGGACTGGGACTGTCTGTTTCAATGCACGCTGTGAATCGGTGCTGGGAGTGCACACGCAAAGGTGGCTCCATGGCACCCTGTACGGTGATGGAGCCACTGATAACAGGACCCTTGAAGGGGGGCATTTTGGAGTGGAAGATTTCACAACAAAGTAATACTTAGAAAGGAAAACTGACATGCATAAATGGTAAGTGCTGATGTCTGCAACACTACATGATTTTTTTTAAAGGGTTTAATATCACTTTAAAGTGACACTAAACTCAAGCGTTAAATCTTAAAAATGCATTCAAGTTCCTTAAAGAGGAACTTTACCCATAGCTTCAAAATAACACCAAAAGGCACCTTTAGAAATGTTTAGTAATGACAATCTACAAACAGATACTTCTAGATAATTGCCGGATTTTTATTTTTTCATATCTTATTTTTCTTTTCTTCCCCAGTCTTCTCACAGTGGCCATTTTAATTAAGGGCAAATTAATGTATCTCCCTCTGCTTCCTGGAACTCTGGCACATGTGACTAGGATATGTGACCATGCACATCATATCAGGGGAGGAAAATGCCTTTCCCTAAGCACTCCTGAGATTACAGATGAGATTTCCCAACAATGCACTGCTTATGCAATCCTCCCAGGATGCAATACTTAGGCACGATTACATAATTTGTGCCAAAGTGAACCAGGAAGTGGAAAAAAGAAACTAAGTAAAATAAAAATATGTTTAACTACTCAATGTAAGGTGATTTATATCTGCATGCAGAGCTGTATGCTGATGTGCTCTTTGTGCTCCCTTCCCTCTTCCAATTTGAGTGCTCTTGTATAGGGAATTGGAAGAGACTGAAACCAAGTCAAATTCAGTTACATTATTTTAAGATCATTTTCACCCTTCTCCCACCCCCCTCTAACCCATCCTGCAGGGTTTTTGCTTTTCCTTACCTTGTGAAGCAAGTTATTCCCACCTAAGTTCCCCCTCCAGGTCCCTCGCTGGTGTGGTTTCTGGGTGTGGTGATATGATAATCCATCACTGCAGATGGTGTCACTGGCTGGTATCCTACCATCCCCTTGCAACAACGCCACTCCTCTTCTGGATCCTGAGAAGACCCTACTGCTGGACAACTAGTAGGAAGTGTCTATGTCATGCATGCAGTGATGTGAACACCTGAAGAAGGACCCCATCCAATGTAAACAAGGAAAGAGAGAAGACTGGATACTGGAGGATCATATGACAGTGGCTTTTAGTAAGTAAAATGGGCATTTAGATAAGGGTTTTTTTTGTTTTACTGTCAGCGATCAGTTAGAGGGGTGCCAGGGAGGGGAGGAAGAGGTTTTTTTTTATCCTGGAGCATTTGTGTTTGTGGAGCTCTACGGTCATAGATGTCAGAGAGTGTGTTGCTTTTTTTTACATTATGGCCTACCAGCATTATCTACAATGGAGAAAAGATAAAAATGTATACTTTTACAACCTGTCCATATGTAATAAAAACCATTTCTCAGAAGTCAAACATGGTTAATAGATTCTAGACAACTTGCTGTACAAGCACTTTAAGACAACAAGTATTTGGTAAATGTTTACTGGGTTAGTTTTTACAATCTGCATAGGTGCAGCAAGGCGACTTGTGTTTGCTGAGGTAGTTCAGCCGAATTATCTGAAAGGGCTGCCTACTGCAGCTAAATCACACTAAAAGAAGAGAGTGCAGCTTTTTTTAAATTGCATTGCACCATATTGCATGGTAATAGGTTACCATGTGATGTGGTGCGATACAAAGAACATGGGATGGCTAGGTGTGTTGGGGTGTCAATAAGAAATAATGGCACTGCAGCATGCAATACGGGATCATGTGCAGCATCACTCGTGCTCCCGTATTGCATAGATGTTAACAGAGCCTTAATGATTAGGGACTCGAAAGCAAAGAGTGCAAAGCTGGAACACGCTCACAGGAGTTAACATTTTAACCTTACCAACATAAGGGTTTGGCATTATATACTAGCACCAGATTAAGGTCTTGTGTGGAAAGAATGTTTTCCTGTTTGATATGCAACTGAAATTCACATTCAGTGCAGGCCAGCACATTTGCTTCCCTTAATTCAATGGTGTACTCTGGATGACAGTTCTCATGGCTTTAATTGACCTTATTTGTTATGTATTACTTTGGACATGACAGGCCCTATTGGGGTGTGTTGGCATTGCAGGCAAAGCAGGTAAAATGCAAGCTTTAACTGCGCCTTGATTCAGTAGTACTACATTCAAATGCAGAAAAGTAGCATTGGACAACAACACTCATCTAAACAAGCCCTGAGGGCCCATTCACACCGCATCCAGATCATCTACAGACCAGACCAGATTGTTTGCTGGACCCAAAATGCATCCTAATGTATCCCTATGCTACTTCTGGTCTCTGTTCACACCAGTGCAGTCCATTCCAGACCAGAAAAATAGTGCACGTCTCATTTTGCAGGTCTGGAATGCACCGGAACTGCGGGCAGGTTCACACCATTTTCCGGACCAGATCTAGTCCAGATCTGGTCCAGAAAATGGTGTGAAGTTGCCCTAAAGCTCACCATGCACATTACAGTATAGCTGTACTATCTAATTTAGATTTACCAAGACTATCCAATAGAAGGAACTAAACGATCCAATCAGTTTGTACCAGGTCAGACAAGATATTGTACAGTCAAATTGCATTGTGAGTTTAGCAGTCATGAGAGACTGATAGTAAAAACAAATACTGATAAAACATTCAACCTCTGCTGTATGTTTTCCAAAAAATGAATGACAATAGGGGTCTTAGGGGTCAATGCTAGGTTTGGGCTTTTTGCAGACACCATGGGGGAAAAAAATCCATGTTAAGTTTTAACCCTTCCCTACTACAACGTTCTCTAACTTTTTACCACAGGGGAACCCTTGCGATAATTTTTAGGACTCTGGAAATGCCTGCTAAAAATGTTTATATCTATATCTATTACAGTGCATTTCTGTGATGAGACAGTTGAAGAAAATTTTAAACAAAATAATAAATATGACATACTGTATGTAAAGGATTTGGTAATGTTCTATATGACAACATTTTGTTCAGTAATAATCATGAAAAGTAATGATTATTAGTAATTTCATTGGTGGACAATAAAGAAGGGGTCCCCAACTTTGGTAGTCAGTGGATAAGGGCTTTCTTACAAGTGGTGGCTAGTTTGGAAGGATGCTCTAACATTGATGGTCAGTGAAGAAGGGCCCCCTAACATTGGAGGTCAGTAATAAAGGACCCATAACATTGGCAGTCAGTGGAGACGAGCCCCCTAACATTGGTCAGCAGGAGATCAATCTAGCACTGCTTACTGTTTAAGAAACCTAGCAACCTATGGAAGAACCCTGGTTAATAAAGGCTGCCCTACTCTACCCAATAACTTTGATTTCAGCCCTGAAACAATCCAGATTTCATATGCAGTTTTACTTGCTGGAGAAGTGTGATGTTGCAGCACAGCCATAACACAGAGTTGCTCTATATTGAGTTGCTGGCTTCCAAAGTTCCAGATCAGTGAGACCATCCATGATCTGGTATAGTAAATCTGCCATCTGCACAGTTTTGCATTATTTTCTTGTAAGTGTAAAGTTAAAGCAGTAGTTACCTCTGATAAAGGTTTCGCGGGTTTGCAGTGAAGACCTCCGACATATTCAAAATTTGGAAGAATTGGACGTGGATACTCAAAGTCCCAGTAAGTCCGGATCAGCCAAATTTCTGCTTTCCCCATAGTTTCACAAAAAGTGGTGGGGCGACCTGAATTGGAAAAATTGGCAAAACATTAATGAATTTGGTGCATTTGAATTAATAAAAAAAAAAAAAATTTAAATTATGGAAATGGGAACAACGTATTGATATACAGCTACACAGTTATGGGTTAAGGAAAAAAAGGAGCCATTTTTCCAGGCATTGGATCTGCAATCTGCAAGGTTTCAGTTACAGTTTAACTGAATCACATCAACATGACCAATTTCACCTTCACAGGTTTCAGGAAACAAACCTGCCCACACCACATGTAAGGAGCTCTCTGGGATATAGCTGAAGTGGATTACATCCTGTATCTCTCTAAATTACTTTAGCACAGTTTGCAAAAGAAATGTTGCAGTTGGTTTGTTGCCTTGAATTGCTTTTCGAGGCATTGATAACTGAAGCTCCGAATATCCATCAAACTGGCTAATCTATTGCCTTTTGGTGAATTAGACATAATGGTTGACTGGGAGCAGACCAGGTGGAGAATCAGTATTCTTTAAAAGGGAAAAAGTATTACCTATGACAAAAAGACAGCTAAAAAATGATCTCTCATACAGTGTGTGCATAATTATAAATTCATTCAACTCTGGTACCAGTACAGAGAGCCGAAGCTGGGGGGGCTGGAGGGGGCATGTGCCCCTGGTGCCACTTTAGGAGAGGTGCCACTGGGTGTGTGGATGGAGAACTTCTCCCTTGGAGGGAGAAAATCTAAATCTTTGCCCCAGAATGTCTAACTTCCCCACTGCCAGTACACGAGGGGTCCACCAAAACTAAATAGCAAAAAAAGACAAAGGAAAAATTGGGCCACCTCTATAATACATTTCTTTAATACCAGGTTATATCAAATGCATAAATGTGACATATATCCAAACAACCCCCCCACCCCCTTGGGAACTAAATAAAATATTGACAACATTGTTAAAACTTCAAACACTGACACTTCACACACTCTTCATTCATTCTACACTCGATCTGGTCAGATTTGGTTGCACATATAATGAAGTCAACTGCAATTGCAAATCCAACTGAGCACTTCTCATAAAGTTATTAATCTGAGATTTTAAACTTTGTGCACATGTGGCAGAGAGCACAGTGATATTCAGAAGCTCGTGCAGAGGATAGTTCAATGAATCCATAAATAAACAAACGGATTGCCGGCAGATACTCTATAGCAGGGCCAAGCCAATATAACGTACTAATAATAGAGTCCTTTTGTGTATCGCATCGGAATGCCTGCAGCGACTCAAGTTGTCTCACCGTATGGTGGATCTCATGCAATCAGTGGTGTATCCAAGGCATGGCAAATATGGCACTTGCCCCCGGGTGCCACTTGAAGGGGGGGCACTCCAAAGGTCACGGAAAGTTCGCTGGCCCACGGAGACAGCGGACTGCGGCTGTCATTATAAAACTCCTGCCACTGCCGGTTAGTTGCTAGGAGTGCCTGGCGTCCTAGCACCCAGTCAGCAGCAGCCCAAGGGAGTTGAATGATGACAGCGGGTTGAAAGCTGCTGGTGGTTGGTTGCTAGGACCGCCAGGTGTCCTAGCAACCAACCAATGACGTGCTGCCTTCAGTTCCCGCCCTATCCAGCAGGGCCTGACAGGAGCTGTACATAATTATAAATTCATTCAACCCCAGTATTACCTAGATGTTTTTGTATTCTTTAAAGGGGTCATATATACGGGTAAAAATATGGAAACTATTGTTTACAAGATTCCAGCACTGGGAGTGACATCCGTATCTTTGCTTCTCTACATAATGATGCAGTGACTTACAATAAGCAAGTGTGCATCTGGTGTCCTGACACTTAATACACGCATGGTTGCTTAAGGTCAGTGACTCGTTAGTATGGAAACGATCAGGGTAACAGCACTCGAGCTTTTACCTGCAAAAACTATCAGGGTTATTCACAAAAGGGAGAAGAGTTTGGAAAAGGCAGGAGAAGTGAACAATTTAATCCAAAAGAGCTGATTAGGAAAAGTTCTTCAACTCAGCTCACTTTCCAGTTCAGCTATGTTGTCCTAGATTGTTCACTTCTCCTGCCTTCTCCAAACTCTTCACCCTTTTGTGAATAACCCTGTATGATCGTGGTTCTGACAGGTTCCCTTTAAAGTGCAAAAGTATTTATTTCATTTTTATTGCTATTAAAATTGAACTCTAGCTGAAAAGTTTTCTAACCTGCCTGAAAGTCAAAAGTCGTACGATTGTACATTATTTGCGGTTGTACGCTGCCCATCAACCTTACGAATATCGGACGAAAACACGATCGCATACGATCGATATTTGTAAGGTTTATGGGCATTTTCACTTATGTGTTTACGTTTTAGCTTTGCCACAAAGCAGGTATTAATAGGCTGCATTCACACCTAAGTGTGAGTGTTCTCAGGTGATTTTGTATGTGTTTTTGCTCTTTTGTAGGCATATTCAGGCTCTGGGGCGGACTGGGCCGGGGGGCAGGGTGGCAATTGCCCCCCGGGCCTCTCTAATGCCTTTAGAAACGCCCCCCGCCGGCGCCGCAGCAGCGGTAATCACTCTTTTTTATCTTTCCGCTCTCGGCCGTTCTGCTGCAGCGGCCGAAAGTGGAGAGATAAAATAATTAATTGCCCCTGCAGCGGCGCCTGCGGGGGCCGTTTTTACAGGAGGAGACGAATTCTTTCTTTGATGCCCGTGTACCGATCGGGCTCCTCGGCGGCCACGGGCGGCAGCTCCCTCCCCTTTCAGCTGCTATAGGCTGGCCTGGGAGGGAGACTGCACACGATTGGCCAGCAGCATAGTTATGCTGCGCGGGACCAAAAGACACAGCAGGAGAAACCATGAGACGGCTGAAGGTATCGCCTCAGGACATGCAGGCAACTTTACTGCTTCCCCCCCACCCCCCACCACAAGGAGAGGAAGAGAAGAGGGCACATTACCTGAAGAAGGAAAGAAAAGTACAACTGTAAGTACCTGTTCTTTCTGCATGACCTCTGCACTGCATACATACTAACCGCTGACCTCTACATTCCCCCGCTGGCCTCTGCACTGCGTACATACTGACCGCTGACCTCTACACCCCCCCGCTGACCTCGGCACTGCATTACATACTAATCTCTGACCCCTACATTACACCGCTGGCCTCTGCACTGCATACTTTCAAACCTCTACATTACACCTCTGCACTGCGTACATACTGACCTCTGACCTCTATATTACACTGCTGGCCTCTGCACTGCGTATTTTCTAACCTCTACATTACACCGCTGCCCTCTGCACTGCGTACATACTGACTGCTGACCTCTACATTACACCGGTGGCCTCTGCACTGCATACATACTGACCTCTACATTCCCCCGCTGACCTCTGCACTGCATTACATACTAATCCCTGGCACCTACATTACACGGGTGGCCTCTGCACTGCGTACTTTCTAACCTCTACATTAAACCTCTGCACTGTGTACATACTGACCTCTGACTTCTATATTACACTGCTGGCCTCTGCACTGCATACATGCTGACCTCTACATTCCCCTGCTGACGTCTGCGCTGCATTACATACTGATCTCTAACCTCTACATTACACAGCTGGCCTTTGCACTGCAAACTTTCTAACCTCTACATTACACCGCTGACCTCTACATACTAACTGCTGACCTCTACATTCTAACTGCTGACCTCTACATTCCTCCGCTGGCCTCTGCGCTGCATTACATACTGATCTCTGACCTCTACATTACACCACTGGCCTCTGCACTGCGTACATTCTGACCTCTGCACTGCGTACATTCTGACCTGTACATTACACTGCTGGCCTCTGCACTGCGTACATTCTGACCTCTACATTACACAGCTGACCCCTGCACTGCGTACATACTGACCTCTACATTAGACTGCTGACCTCTGCGCTGCGTTACATACTGACCTCTGCACTGTTACATACTGACCTCTACATTACACCGCTGATCTCTGCACTGCAGTACATTACACACTGACCTCCACATTACACCGCTGGCCTCTGCACTGCGTACATCCTGAATTCTATATTATACCTCTGCACTGCATACACAGTGAACTCTGACCTTCACATTACACCGCTGTCCTCTGCACTGCTTTACATACTGACCTCTACATTACACCGCTGATCTCTGCACTACAGTACATTACATACTGACCTCCACATTACAACGCTGGCCTCTGCACTGCGTACATCCTGAATTCTATATTATACCTCTGCACTGCATACATAGTGAACTCTGACCTTCACATTACACCGCTGGCCTCTGCACTGCGTACATACTGACCTCTATATTATAACGCTAACCTCTGCACTGCGTACATAGTGACCTTAGTGACCTCTATACGATTATGCTAACCTCTGCACTGCGTACATACTGACCTCTATATGATAACGCTAACCTCTGCACTGAGTACATAGTGAACTCTGATGTCTATATTACACCGCTGTCCTCTGCACTGCGTTACATGCTGACCTCATTATTACACAGCTGACCTCCACATTACACTGCTGACCTCTGCACCACGTACATACTGACCTCTACATTACACCACTGACTTCTGCACTGCATACATACTGACCTCTACATTACACAGCTGATATCTGCGCTGCGTTACATACTGACCCTCTACATTACACCGCTGACATCTGCACTGCGTACATACTGACCTCCACATTACACCACTGAACTCTTCACTGTGCGTTAGACCACTGGCCTCTGCATTGTGCGTCACAGCACTGACTTCTGTACTGTGCGTTATTGCTGACCTCTTTATTGTGCATCATACCACTGACCTCTGTACTCTGCATTACACCGCTGGCCTCTGTACTATGCATTGCACTGCTGAACTCTGTACTGTGCTGTCCTCTGCACTTTGCGTTACACCACTGACCACTACACTCTGCATTACACTGCCCTTGCACTGTGCATCACACCGCTGACCACTGCATTACACCACTGACTTCTGTACTGTGCATTACACTTCTGACCACTGCACTGTGCATTACATTGCTG